CAGATTAGTGATTGCAACAACTGTACATGAATGAATCCAAGTTTAATAGTAAAAACAGAATTTTTTTGAGCTGCCTTGCGGGAAACCTGAGAACTCCATCTGGGAAATGTACGATAACAACACCCGAATCCTGCCCCTGTTTTACCTCAGAGGAACGGCACCCCTCCCCCCCCAGAAAGAAAGAGTGCTCTGTGACTGCTTCCTTTTGGATTTAAACATAGCCCTTGCTTCCTCCCCCACTGACCCTACATTCCCAACAAAGATAAATCAGGGGAAGAAGGAGGATACCTCTTTTAGAGCAAAACTGCCAAGTAAAGAAAATCAAGAACGAGAAACCAGAGGAAGTGATGACTGGAGCCCGGTGGAGCAGCCCATGGCCTTCCTTTACCTCTTCCTCCTGTGTATATTTTCATAGCTTCTCAGTTTCAGTTCACTGGCAGCCGTAGGAATGAATGCCAAGTGGGAAGATGTGACTGGGTGAAGAACTCTGAAAAGTGAAATGTCCTAGACTCACTGTTTTAACGCAGGAGGCAACTTCACTCACTTCCAAAGGCTGGATCATCTCAGATATCAGCCCACAAGCACGCATTGCACAGTACCCTCCAAGGCTGGGCACCAGAAGGAGCCTGTCATTAGCCAGTGTCACCTCATCAAAGTGCAAAGGAGAGAGGCAGGCCATAGTCACTCAAAGGAGGTGGATCCAACCAAGATTCCTACCTGAAACTAAAACCCAGTTCTCTGGAATAGGGGTGGACAGGGGGACAGATACTTCCTCTATGAGACAGCTTTGAAGTCATCCCTTAGTAAACATGCCTCTTCTCCAAGCTGTGCATACACACTGGGCTACCACCAACAATTCTACCTCTACCACCCAGAAGAAACCCCAGGGGGCATGACTTTCTTCACACTGAGGATGAAGAGGAGGACAGTGGGGATGCCCATGACCTCCTGGCATTGGTCACTGGGGACTATGATGCTGGGTTCCCACTGCCAAGGTGAGCTGGTTTTGGAAGGGTCTGCACCGAGTTTGAACAGACGTATTTCTAAAGTGTTTTTTTTCATAAATGTAATATTTATGACAGGAAATGAGGTTAGACATTCCCGAAGCTAGCAAGGCTTTATGAACACACTGTCCTATCCTCCCAGGACACGTAAATGCAGTTAATCTTTTGAAGGAAGACCCAAATACCTCACTCCTTTACATTTAACCTGAGCCATCAGAGGAATGCAAACACTGATTTGGAGCCAGGTCTCTGGTAAAGGATTACCATATGCGGCCCACAAGGAAATTCCTCCCTGCAGCCAGAATTTATACTGCAGTAAGCTATGAATAGAAAGTTTGTGCATGGTTATGAATATGGATAAAATACATCACTCATGGCCAGGGAATGGCAAGCAAATTGAAAACACATATTTTGGATCGCATAATATTTTCAAAAATATATTTAAAAGAAAATAAACACAGATTGTGTGTGTTCATTTACTGCTTGAAGTACCTTTGGGGAAAAGAGACATCAACAAGTTTTCTTTCCAAACCATTTGCTTTTCCTTGTGCTTTTTAGCACAGAGCTGGACCCTCTGGGAAGGGATGGGGTCTTGTAGAGTGCATGGTAAGTAGTTGCACTGGCAGACATTATATCCCTTTCCTGTACAAGACAAGGAGTTGAGTCTTCGAATAGCTCCAGGAGGGACTATGTGGCGTGGGGAGATGTGTTCAGCTCATTCCCGTTAGTATAGTTCACTCCTCATTCAGACTCAGAAGGATTTTGCTGGTTTCTGCATTTTATGCTTTCAACTTTTCCCTTGCCAGATTATTCATGGACATCAAGACTGGAACTATGTTGTTAAGTCTACAGATGAAGACTGAAAATCTGCCATTTCATGTCAAACATAGAGATTTGGTCTCTAGCAAAATTAAGAAAGAGGAAAGAGTGTTTTTTATATTGACTCCATGTTGATAACCACACTCCTCCTACAGCGAACCCAGTCTCCTGCTGTTATCTCTGTATACCCAAAGAATCACCCATTTGCATACCACCTGAACATGACTCTTGGATTGGATAGCTCATTTAATTTTCCCCATCTCTCTTTTATTCTCCTTCCTTCCAACTAAATTTACCTGCTCTCTTTCCCATCACCTTGAGATCCTGAGATCCACTGTAGGGTAGTTAATTAATCTGAATTCAGTGTGTTATTCTGTGGTCAATTCCAGGTGACATATTTTCATTTAATGTGGGTACTCACATTTTTCATTTTCTCTCCCTTTTACTTCCTCATCCTCAGAAACCCCCTCACTCAGAGCAGTTAGCTGCAGCAAAGTGCACCACAGGACACACTGCTATCACTGATTGGAAATTACATTGACCTGTGACCCAAGGACAGTAATCTATTATCTGACTGAGACCCTATGACATCACATGGTACCAAATGCTCTGCCCAAATAGAGATGTATTGTGCCAAATTTATTAGTTATCAGAAAAAATAAGAAGTCCACCAATTCTTATTGTCTGAATTCACAAGGTCATAATGTAGAACACGGATTAATGGCTGTGGTTAGGAAGGTTTAGGAACTGAACTCACATTCAGTTCACATGAGACCCAACTATACTTTGTTTTCTGTTTTTGATTTTTGTGATACTCTGTCCCCATGCTGGAGCTTTCTTTTCAAGGAAGATGGCACTGAGGGAAACAATAAGGATCACCTGGGGATGATGCCTTGGTTGTAGGAAGGAGTCTACTTTGTTCATGTTAACCTCTGGCTCTGCTGTAACAGAAAGTGTCAAAGGATTACCTAGGCATTCCTAGAATAATTGAGTAGGGAAAAAATATCATGGCAATTCCATGAGTTAAATGAAAGTCTGTTCCTTTGATGGGGAAAATTTAAAGTCTGTTTATGGACCCATGGAACAAGACAAGCAATCTGCATATCACTTCAAATTCCTTCTATAATTGTAATACCCACATTCCGTAATACCAATTGTTGATTAGAAATTAACTTTGTGTAACTCATAGATGTTCCTTTGTTGGCTTGTGCCAATTTCATCTGTATTAGACAGCTTCCAGAGTGTAGGGATAGTGTCTTTTAACTTGATCTGCATAGCATTTGGCCTAGTGATTATTCTAAGAGTGTTGAATAAAAGTCATTTTAAGGTGGTCACTCCGATGTTAATGTGGATGTATTTGATGGTGACGTTGATAAACTTTAGACTGAAGATATGTCACCTGCAATGATAAGATATCACTAACTGATATTCTATTATGTTTATTTTTTGTCTCCTCTTCTAGAACTAAGATCCGTGCAGATACTTGTTTGTTACTGCTACATCCTGAATGCCTAGAACAATGCCTTTTTTCTTTAAAAAAATTTTTTTACCTGCTTTATTGAGGTATAATCAATATACAAAGAACTATATTTAACGTGGACAATTTGATGAGTTTGAACATGTGCAAACACCATGATGCCATCACCACAATTACAACAGACATAAGCCAACACCTTCCAAAGTTTCCTTGTGCTCATTTATTTTTATATTTTTTGTGTTGTTTTGTTTTTATGGTGAGAACACTTAACATGAGATCTACTCTCTAAGCAAATTTGGCAGTACACAATACCTTATTATTAACTATATAAGCACCATGCTGTACAGGAGATCTCTACAACATATTCATCTCACATAACTGAAATTTTATACCCACTGAACACCTCTCCATTTCTCCCACCCCCCAGGCCTTGAAGTCTTTAATGTAGACACTTAATAAATATTTATTGAACAAATGAATACTTAAAGATTTAAAAAAAACCTGAAGAGGAAGCGATTTCCTCTTCCATACCCAAATTTTAGTATTTATTCTTCTGCAGACAAAGTGCTTTTCTCTATGCTGTGCCAGACCTACTTTTTTTTGACTGCCGTTACCCTAGACTTTAATGAATGGTTGACCTACTTGGTGCGATTTTATTTTTTTTGATAATGTGGTATTTTTGGAAGGTACATGCCTGATAATATTTCTTATCCTTGACACTGATGTGGTGACTAAAAAATATACCCCAAATATATGCTCTTGTTGCTAAGTAATTTGCCAATGTTTGAATAGGCAGCAAAGGAGGATGTTTTCATAGTGTTCAGAAGTAGAGACTGCAAAATAAACAGTCCATTTTCCTGTCCCAGATCTGCCTTGTTCTTTCATAAATAATTATTGTATCTACATACACAGACACATATATATACACTCACATACACATACAGTGTGTATAAATAGGTAATTAGAAAAAAACTGTGGTATATATCTCACTTTAAGAAGGTTAACATTTCCACAACATTCTTAGGAAAATTAATTGCAGGAGAAATATGTTCCAAATTACTTCAAGGTTACTTGGAAAGTTATCTCTATATGAAAAATGGTTTAAATATTGAATTCAGGTCAATTTTCTACAAGTTCTGTTTTTATAGGAGAGTAAAACCAGTCAAATAGTGATTTGTAAGAAGACTTTCGTTCTGTTTTATGTTGTTTTTACCTTAGGGAACATTTCTTGAGAACCACTTATATTTCCAAAACTTAGTAGATGTTGTTTATTTTACAATAATCTTGGAAAAGAAATAATGAGTGGATACATTTAGGATTGCTACAAGCAATCAGACTTATGGGGCACCATTGTTTCCTTCCACTGCTTGGAAGAGCATTTAGAAGCAGTATTGCTTGTAGCTGGGAAAAGAAGAGTCATAAGTGAGAATCATTTAAGCTTGTATTGGTGGGGCACCTGTGTCGCTCAGTCAGTTGAGCACCTTACTTTTGATTCTGGCTCAGGTCACCGTTCCAGGGTTGTGGGATTGAGCCCTGCATCAGGCTCCGCGTTGAGCATGGAGCCTACTTAAGATTCTTTCTCTCTCTTTCTCTCCCTCTTCCCCTCTGTCCCCTCCCTACTCTCTCTCTCTTCCTCTGTCCCTCTCTCCTGCTGCCACACTCTCTCTCTAAAAAATAAAATAAATACATAAGTAAATAAATAATATTTAAGCTATTTTATTTGCTTATACAACCGACACAGATATCACGTGTCTCTCGAACATATAAATATAAAAATCCTGCAGTATAGATTTCTTCATCTTTGCAACTATAAATATCTATAGTTATTTTATAACCAACTCACTGGTCCCTTTTGGCATCAAAAGACATTGATACTCTATCAACTGTGACAGATTCTTATTAAATGTTATGTTTACTCTATGTAGGTAAAAAATAACATTTTCTCAAAAATAAAGGAAGCTGCATAATCACCAGATTATAAATTTACAGTGGCCGGAACAATGGGAAGCTTGTTTACCATGGTGTAGGAGGGATCTAGCATGGTGCCTGGCATGTGAGAATCACACAACAAATTCTTGTTGACAGTCTGGCACATGAGGAATATGATGTGACAGAAAAGTCAGGTCAGGGATGCATCTTTAGCTAAGGGGAATGTCAAGCACAAGCCATGCTAACTCACCATGTCCTTCAAGGAAATGGCCAAAAACACATACGTAATTCAGAGGAGTAAACATCTTCAACAATTTTAGTAGAGCTTTCTATGTCCAACACCATCTGAAGAATTTTACAAATTAGAAATCAGTGGTTTGAATAAACCCAGATCCTGAATAGCTATTTCCAGCTTTTCAAATGTGCAAAACACATTTTTCCTCTTTAGTTTCCAGGAGAGACTTGAAGAATCAGCATCATTTCAGGAATTGTTTTTGTGGCCTTACTCTCAAGGAATAGACAAAGGAAAGTCAAGAAGAAGAACAACAACACAAGCCAAGTACACAAATGGACAGTTCTGATACAAAAGGCCAAGGCTTTATATAGACCAGTCCAAAATGGAACGGTTTTGGGGTCCCTGACTTCTAATCATAACTGGTGTGGGCCTACTTGGTTTTTTTTAAACAATTAAAACTTTGCCATGTAATAAAAATCAGGTGTAAGAAAGTGAAAGATAAAACTGATGATATAGGCAGGGTCTGGAGGGTACACCGTCTGCTAGGACATATGGAGAATGTTAAACCTCAATTTTAGAACAATAGTGATTCCTTGCATGGATCTGATGAGCTATATTTTGAGAGGTTTGAGAAGAGTCACACGGAGAACACGCACATGATCCCTTTGTCCCAGTTCAAACCTAGAACATTACTCATTGCTTCAGAAGAACCCTGAAAGCCCTTCCAGAGAATGAGCTTCTCTTTCCTTCTCAACCAGAAGAACACCAATCTGTATTTATGACTGTTGTTACTCGAACCCAGGCAGAGGCTCGTAAAGGTCCCAATCGATGTAGTTTGTGGAAATGATGCTGTGTAACTGCTTGAAGCTAGCTCATAAAAGAGCTGTGACTTCTGTCTGGATTCTCTTTCAGGACACTCTCCCTGAGAGACCAGTCCCCAGGAAAAAGCCAGGCCACGTGCAGATGTTTGATGTTCTCGTTGACAGCTTTAGCTGAGCTAATGGCCAATACCAGCAGGGAAACCTCAGACACATGTGTGAAGGAGACTCCCAGATAATTCCATTGCTAGCTTTCAATCTTCCAGTTGAAGCCCCAACATTGTAGAATAGAGACAAGCTGTATCTCCTTTCTTTGTGCAACCTCACAACCTATAGAAACTGAGAGATAATAAATAATTATTGTTGGTTTAAGTATGTGTTTTGGAGTAGATCACTAATAGATCACTAATGCTATAGTTTACCATATGTCATAGACTTGGTCTATAGGTCATATAGATGCTCGTAGATACACACAGACTTTTAAGTCCTAACTCATTTGCAAGATAAATTAGAGATTTCTTCTGAAGCTTTCTGAAACCATCATTTACTTGTAAGCAACATATTTGCTTTAATGGTGAATTGTATAACAAAAAGGTTTTTCATGTATTCAAGTCAATCCTTACAGTTCAGGAAAAAGTGTGTGTGCAGGCATGTGGGTATGTACTATAAAAAGATTTATATGCTATTATATATATTATATTATAATATATATTATAATTAGCCTTGGTTTCAGCTAATTACATATCTTTTTGTTTCATAAAAAGTGATGAATGCAATCTGCCTTTGGGTGAATTATTAAAAGGCTACATCTGAAAAAATTTTGAAAATTTTTTTGGTCGAGTGACGAGTATGCTAACTTGTGTCTACACGTGAATGGTATAACTTTATAAGTATTTTAATATGGTAGAGCAGCCAATGCTTTCCTTTAAAGCGTTTTTAAAATTTTTATGTTTATTTATTTTTGAGAAAAAGACAGAGTGTGAGCAGGGGAGAGGCAGAGAGAGAGGGAGACAGAATATGAAGCAGGTTCCAGGCTCTGAGTCATCAGCACAGAGCCTGACATGGGGCTCGAACTCATGAACCATGAGATCATGGCCTGTGCTGGAGTCAGATGCTTAACCAATTGAGCTACCTAGGCACCCCACCAATGCTTTCCTTTATACACTGTGCTTTTCTGCTGAACAAACTTTAGTCAAGGCCGTCTGTTCTATGAGTTTGATTTTACTGTTCCTGTTGTCACATCATCAATAAATTGCAGACATTTATTTTTTTTTATATACCAACTACTGATGAAAGAATTAATATGGGAAAATGTGAAAAGTCTACTGAGGATATAGGGACTAAGTCACTATGAAATAGCATGATTGAAGAAGTCATGATTTTCACTTCACTGTGTTACCAGTGTTTCTAGACCCTACATTTCTTTCCACCAGATACTGTATTTAAACTTATAAAACAGACCTGGTAAGTGAAACCCTTCCATTTAGGGACCAGAAGATCCCATTAATGACTAGTGGATGTGTGGTCTGTAAAAGCCACATTATTCCCTTGCTGGCCATTTCATTCAGTGGAGCGGTCACAAATAGCTCTTTAATGCCAATTCATGCTTAGGAAGTTCCACGCTAAATGAAGTAAAAACAAAAGACTTCCCCTTGTAACCATACCCAAACTCAAATCCCATCTCTTCTGTAAAGTTTTCCCCAACTACCCTTGATCTCCCTTTCACCCCAATTCCCTGCTGTTGGGTAGTGTGTTCATGTGCTTTAAGACACCAAGTTTAGAGCTTAGAAACATATCAGGCCATGAGACACATACTTGCTTTTGGCTTATTCACTTGAAAACACCACCAGAAAAAAATATTCTTAGAATCAGATGATTATAATAAGGATACTTACATTGCCGATACTTCATAACATATTTTTCTTCCCTGCAATTTAAAGTATTTTCTCATTGATCTTACAATGTGTAAATATCAGAATGAATTTCTCAGTGTAATTATTAATAGGTTACTTGGACTCATTGTCCTTTAAAATAAATGTTTTCAAAGGGAATGATAGGCAAATTTGTAAAATTATCCAAGATATTTCCCATAGGAAGTATTTGTTGAGTGGCTATGAATCCTTGAGTCACAAGCAAGGCAGGTTTTATATGGAAAGAGGGGTTGGATTAATTAATCTCTAAGATATTTTCTAGCTTTTTAACCTTCTGCACCTTTCAGTGAACAGCAAGAGCAAATCTCAGATTATGCTAATGAGTACCTTCAGATTAAGTACATTTGCATGTATATGTAGGTCTCTAAAACCCATGATCAACAGCAAGGTGGCATTTTACTGAACCAGTCCATAGCAGTACAGGATGAGGAAGGCTCCAGTGTGTCTTCATATTTCACTGATGAAAAACTGTCTGAAAAATGGTGTTTATAAAAACATTCCTTTGCTGATTGTCTGCACCCCCCACAGGGTTCAAGTGAGGGGTCTAAGAATTTGGAGAGGGCAAAGGCAGTGAAGGGTGAATGAATCCTTTCTCATCATTCTAGAGGTCACCCTCAATAAGGCCACTCTTATGTGGGAGGTGGAAAGGAATCTGATGGTGCCTGTTTGTTTTGGCAGCCTGTATCCTGAAGATGCACACATCCAGAGAATGACAGAGAGCCATTTTTCCAGGCCAAGGCTAACTTGTGTTTCCATAACATTGTGGGAAGCTGCAAATGCAAGCCACACAGGCTTGTCCCCAACCTGAGAACAAACAGCCCTCTGCCTCCAGAGATACCGTCCCTAAATCACCTTTCACCCATTGAAGACTCATTTTAAAAATTAAGAAAAAAAAATGCTGAAGAGGTGTATTTTATATATTAATGATCAAGGTTACCCAAGGAGAATAAGACTTTCCTTGTCATTGGTATCATCAACAACCACAATGGCAGAGGCAGCAAATGACAACGGAGCATCCAGAGAATTTAAGTCTTTATTGATTTTTTGCAATTCTCAGAATATCGATTTATTGCTATCCTTGTTGTTATAAATGTATTAGTCAGGAGTCTAGATTCAAATGGTTCTCAAAATTAATTCTCTACCCATTACTGAGTATAGTTATACTTTGTTGACATAAATCTCACAGCTTAGAATTATTCACAAATCACCTGTTCAAATCCCCAGGTTCACCAAATATAAGGTATCACGATAGTTTGAATCCAGAAGGGATATGAATTGGGGGTATAGCTCAGTGGCAGAGCATTTGACTTTTTAAGGGCGGTGAGGCAGAGGCAAGCACCACCATATTAAAGTAGTTAAAAGTCTTATGTAGAAAGTCTAGCTGCCTTCACACCAGGCCTACACAGCTCATGTAACAACTATTCTGGAATAATGTGTTAATCTTTATTAACTTCTTCCACTTGTTTGTTATGGCATACTATGATTTTTCCTTTATAATACTATTACTACTTGATTTTGAGTGCACATTACATATATATTCACTGTTTTTACCACTAATTAAAATTTCTGGCATTCTGTCAACAAAACACTCTCAAACTTTGTCAAGACTTCTGTTTGTCTCAAATTTGTAAGTGGCCATGTGTCTTTGAGCAGGGCTTTTCTAGCCATTCACACCCAGCTATACTAGTCACATAAAAGCTTGTTTTTCTGAATAGGTATAGACATAAAAATAATACCTGAATAGGTATAGGCATAAAAAAATTTACCAGTCCTTTTAATGTTTATTCATTTTTTTTGAGAGAGAGAGAGAGAGAGAGAAAGAGTGTGTGTGTGTGTGTGTAAGCAGGGGAGGGACAGAGAGATAAGGAAACAATCTGAAGCAGGCTCCAGGCATAGAGTCTGATTTGGGTTCTTGAACTCATGAACCTTGAAATCATGACCTGAGCTGAAGTCAGGCACTTAACTGACTGAGCCACCCAGGCACCGCTTATCAACTTTTCACACGGTGTCAAGCACTTATACTACTTCATGTGCATTAGTTTATTTAAAGTGTACTGCAAACCTATGGAAGAGGATCTATAGTTATCCTCATTTCTAAGTGAGACATAAAGGTTAAATAACTTGCCCTGTCACAAAGGGAATGCATAATGGAGGTGAGATATATTTACATATAAGTGGAGATAGAATAGTGAACTAATTATACAACTTTGGATGTGACATTTAATGGTTTAACTTAAAAAAAAAAAGAAACCATGAAACACAGCTAATGATCATGGCAGTATGATAGACAAGGTTTTCTGACCAACTTTCTGCTGAAAACAACTAAAAAGCTGAGTAAGACAAATACATCAATAACCTGGCAATAAAAGAAAGGATAATTAGAAGGCAAATACTAAGTGAAATAAAAACCCAGAAGGGTGTCCTAAATTTTGCTTTCATCCTAAGCGTGGTCAGTAAAATCTGGTGGGTTTGAGCTTATGAGATGTAAAGATATATAATTTACTGAATACACACACACATACACATATGATGTAAATTTATCCCCATTTATAGTATAAACACATATATACCTATATATACTAGGATATAAATTTATTTATAGTATATATACACACATGCACACATACTTTATCCTGAAATGTAACTATTGACTTGAACACATGAAAGACGTTTTTGTTATAGAATTAACCATTAAAGCAAAAATGTTTTCATAAGTGAATGATGGTTTCAGGGTTCAGAAGAGAGCCCTAATTTGTCTTGCCAATGAGCTGAATAGGATCTAAATGTCTGTGTGCAAACTGAATATCGTTATGACCTACAGACCATGAGGTCTATGAAAGATATACAGATGTACATGAACTGGGAGAAACATAAGAAACTGTTTTCTAGGCCTAGATAATAATTACCTTTCAATGTAATTATCCCTGTGGTTAGTGTAAGGAGAGTTCTGATTTTTCTAGAGGTCTGGTTTACAACTTCATGCACAAACAAATGCCATGCACGTTTTGCATCTCTGAAAAGACTTTTGGTGTAGGATGTTGTTTTCCTGGGTATTCCTGGGTCAGAATATTCCAGAATACTCCATCTCCACAAGGAGTTCATAGACTTGTTTCTACTTGATCGGTGACTTGAGTAATTAGAAACCCTGTGTATGAGACTGGCATTGTTACCAACATCTAGTTTAGGAAAAATTTCTCTCATAGAGGAGCATTTTCCCCTTAGGGAAAAGTTTAGTCACCTGGCTCTTGTACTTCATTATTAATTCATCACTAACTGTTTTAAAAATGATTTACAATTACTGTAAGAACTGTTGTTCAATAATAATTTTTGCTCACCATTGACAAAAACAAATGTATCACAAGATGCTTCCTCAAAAAACAGACCCCTGGGTTCTAAAGTTGAAAAGAACACTGTAGCATCTTTCACTGACGTTTTGATGATCTGAACTTCTTTAACTGTATGCAGACTCTGTATTCAGCTTATATTGTAGATACTAACTTTGTGTGAGTTCAAGCCCCACATCGGGATCTGTACTGTGGAGCCTGTTTGGGATTCTCTCTTTCTCCCTCCCTCTCTATGCCCCTCCCCTGCTCTCTCTCTTTCTAAAATAAATAAACCTTAAAAAATATTTTTTTTTTACTTAAAAAAAGTAACCATTTAGAAAATAAGTAGCTGAAAAATTCTAGGAAATTGAGTGCTGGAATATAGCAATGAGAAAAGACAGACCAAAGTCTAGCATCCATGGAGTTTCCATTCTGGGAATGGAAGGCAAGAGCACATATCATGTAAGAGCATATTTATGCTATGAAGACTGTGGTCCTGAAATTTAGCTGTGACTATATTTATTTTTTTCCAAGGATAAAAAAGCACATAGCAGGCATAATTTAAAATTATTTTTAATTCTTTGTAGACATTCCAGAGAAGTCAGTAAAGAAAAACCAAAAAACCTTAAGGTAAGAAGGATTTTGCCCCCTGCCCCCCCGTCAAAAAATAACAAATGAATGAAAAATTGTAATAAGTGCCTGCCTATAACAGATCTATTCCTCATCCTGTAGCCTCACAGCTAGGCCTGCTCTATGCCCTTATTTGCTCCTTTACCAATATCTATAGTCATTTTTTGATTGAATTAAACACAGGATTATGTTAAAACTTTAGGCACTGTTTTAGTTATTTCTGTCAAGTTACCTATTCATTTTGACCACTCTGTGAACCCATTAACTACTTGGTCATATATTAGTCTGACTTGATCAGAATACAATAATCTAGTAGTCTATGAGGGTAGACCCTTGTTTAACTGAACTCTGGACATCATGATAAGGTTGTTCTTCAACAAATTTGAGTTGTTCATTGCTGTCCCATCTATTAACAGTAGTGAAAGACTATGGTTGATGAGTCAGCTAGTAACAGTCCCAAAGCCTGTTATAGAGGTCAGGGGTCAAACAAAATTGACCTTGTCAATATAGGGGAACAGCATCTATGAATCTCTCTTCTATATCTGAAGTGACTTTAGTGTTTTGATCACTCCAGTTGCTGAAAAGAAAAGGCTCCAAGCTATGATCCTACCTACCTCCTTATCCCCAAGGTTGATTGTAGGCCTGTACTACAGGCTACTGTTCCCTTTTGTTAGTTCTAGAACAAGTCATCCAGTACATTTATTCCCCGAGGCCTTAGAATAAATTGACTTATGCAAAGGTCAATCCCAGGCAAAGAGCTCTCACTGCCTTCCCACTAAAGTTCATATGCAATTTAAAAGAGTGCTGAAGAGACCATAAATATTCTAGAACTATGGAGATCCTCTGAGAACCATATAAAGTGTTCCTGATACGAACAGATACTACACTTGATCTTAGCCAAAAGTCCAAGAAGCGATGAGAACCATATAAAGTGTTCCAAATATCTTCTGTGATTTGAAGAGTTTGGGGTCAACCAAATATTCCGAAGTCAAGGATATGACCCAAAACTCAGCCGTCTGTCTAGGTGTTAATGTAGTGGCTAAGAGCATACGTAGTCCTGGGTTCATATCAACAGCCAGTAACTAGCTATGTAACCCTTGGCAAGATACCTGCCCATCTATGCCTTTATGCTATAAAATGGTTATATGGTTATCATGGAGATTTACAGGCTAGCGAATAAATGAAAGCAAGTACTTAGCTTAGTATTCAGTAAGAGTTTGCTATTATTTATTGTTTTAGATGCAATTTTATTCTGTGCCTGGCTTTCAACTCCAGAGTGAATATCATCAAAAGCCATGTGTTTCAAATTAATATTCATGACAGAAAACTGGGTAGTGAAAATAAAATTCACATTAATGAAACAGAATAGAACAGAAAATATCGAAGACCACCATATAAAATAAGCATGAGTATAGCACACAGCATGGTGCCTATAGTTAACAATATTGTACTGTATACTTAAAAATGGGTTCAAAGGGTAAATCTATATTAAGTGTTCAAACCACAACAAAAAGAAAAAAACACTAATAACAATAAATAAGATTTAAAAATAATAAATTCAGTTCTTGGGGAAAAAATAAGCATGAGTATTTCATGAAAATTTGTTTCAGATTATATATTTGTATATTTGGATGGAATATATATATTTTACATATTTACTTTTTTATATTTATATCCTGGTGTAAGCTGTATTTCTTAATGTGAATCGCACTCCAAAAAGCTAAAGAAGCACTGAGCTAAAGTCCACTCTGTTAATTTGTTTAGTCTGATAGAAATGAAACTCTGCTCTTGGTAGAAAGGGGAAGGTTCATTATGTAAAATACCTAATGGCCCAGCAGTTTTCATTTTGGTATTGTTGCATTAAATTTGCCAGTAATGTGGTGGTTAAAAATATGGAAGAGGCTGTATGCAGGAATTATGTTAAGTGATTTAGCTTTACATGAGCCGATGGCTTCACAAGATTGGCTCAGTTTCTATGAGTTCATTGTGTAAAATCAGGTATTTTGTGGCAAGCATACCCCTTCCAAGATGAAAGCATTAAGACCTAAATTTCATTATCTAGTTGATTCAGTGCACACGTGCCAGGCTGCATTGTTGACACGTGCTCAGATATACAGTTGGTGAATAAAAAACATTTAAAAAAATAAACAGAACAAGCAAATTCTTCCTCTTCTACATCTTTGTCCTCACAAATGTGCTGTATATACTACAATAGTAGTTCTTTTAAAATTAGCCTCAAATGATTTGTGTTAACTCTATCAAACAGATGAAGGGGATTCCTAATGAAGTAGCTAAAACTGATTGCATAAACATTGTTGGTAACTAATGAAAACAGTCCAAGAGTATAGGGACCTGATTCTTTCACCTTTCTCAGCTCCAGGGAATTAAACTCTCACATAACATGGGTTTCGTTCAGTGTTTTTCACTCCAACAGACGTTTTCTTTGTAAGACTCCTTCAAGTAGCATACCGATGGGGCTAAAGGAATGACTTCTAAAAAATCTGTTCTGTTTTTTTCCTAGATTTTTCAAATATATTACCTTTGGTTTCAGCTCATCTTTCCCACAGAAAAAGTGGGGGCGGGGGGGAGTGCTTGTTTTCATCTGGCTGGAGCTATGATGTTTTCCTTCAGTACAGAGAGAAGTTGAGAGGCCATGTGTCTGGGTCACAAAGACAGATCTCAGCTGTGTTTTTCAATGTGCAGGTAGGTGGTCTCAGCCTTCTTGGCAGAACACAGTAGTCATATAATAAAATGACTCCAGGGACAAAGTGCCTTTGTCAACCTGCCATCAAAGACAGCGGTTCCTCCTCTCCTAATATGACAAAGTTGTTCTCTTCAATGCTGGAAACCATCAGAAAACCCCAAACCCTGCAGAGTAAAGAATTCCGAATGAGTCCCTCCTTGAAAAAAGAACAAACAAAACAAAATACAATAACAACAACAACAAATGAAAAAGATTCTTTAAGACATGGACAGATCACATCAATAAAACATGAATTGTATCTGAGCTTCAGAAACATTGTGTGAACAACACAAGAACCACACTAATGATCCATAACTGGTGTACAGGCTGTTAAGAGAATCACATGCCAACCACATAAAATATATTATAAAACACTAGAACCACACAAGCTAGGTTGTATTATGCAACCAATAAGGAATAAAATTCTACCAATCATTCCACTCATAGGAATAAAGCCAAGACAATTTAGAGATCAATTAAGTCAGATACATCATTCTCTCTTTTAGAAATCTTTTATATGATTTATATATTTAGAGATCTCGGATTATATAAATTATGGCTTATTAACGGTTAGTGGCTCAGTGAAGGTATTTAGAAGCCTTAACCAGTTCCACGTGGGATCATCAATTGATTAGCATATTTTATAATATGTTTCCTTCATCTTGTTTACTTCAGCTCTATTTCCCTGCATTATTTTTATATATGGCAAACAGAAGCAAATAAGCCAGGTACTGAATTTTCAGTTTCTTAGGCATTGCACTCAAAGTGCTCATTCAAGGACACAATGGAATGGAGTAGGATTTGAGATGCAACTATGCAAAGAAATAATCCCTCTCCCAAATCTAAGAGGGGAGATAGATTGAAAGGTGACACAACATCATTTTCAGGTACTTATATAAGGGGTATACTTAACTCATATTTCTTATGGATGCTTATGTAGCCTAGTTAAAAGAAGCATGCAACCAGAGTAGAGTTTCTGGGTTAAAAAATTCCAAGAGTGTAAAACATTACTTGCTCTTTTAGTGTGGGGTCACTATTCAAATAAAGCATCTTTATTGGAGATTATCACTATTATCTGCATCTTCACAGTCATATTTTTCCCTACAATATCATGATTTTAATCATTTTATCATCAAACTTTGTCATATCAGTTGTTTAAATTTACATACTACATAGATATCTTAAATACTACTTATGCTTACACTAGTTTATTACATGGCAATTTAGTTCTACATTTCATGTTAGGAATAGAATAAAATTAATGAAGAATAGGTTATGAGTTCAATCTCTGGCAACCTAAGTAACTTTCTTCTCCCCACCAAGGCCAGGGAAAGCAGCTCTGACCTGGCCAGCCCTCTCATAAATGTAAGTCTTTTGCCTCACAGTAGGTTGGATAGAGAGTCAAAATAGAGTTCTACCACCAACACTGAGCACATTGCAGAAACCCTATGACTTAGAGACAGTGGTTTCTGAAGAACATTTTCATTTTATTTCATTGATTATCAACAATCTAACAAGTCAAAAATGTTGAACCAAACCACAGAGGCAAGATATGCCTATATAATTTCTAACTGAAGAAGCAACTTTAGATAGCAGGGAAAAAATGCAAACATTACATGAATCTCTGAGGATCTTAGTATTTGAGGGTAAGACGGATTATTGGTCTGCCTTCACATAATATGTGATTGCTACTTTCACCGCTTAGTATTTTGTTCAGTGTGTTTTTCAGGGTTTCCAGTGATAAGCCTGTCTTAATGGGGATTCCATGATTTGAGAGATCTCATCAATAGGAAGTTTATCCTAATGTGGTTCTTGTGTTTTTAACCAGACATTTTTGAGGTCTTGATGAAGTCCAACTATTTTTGTGTAGACCACATGAATTTTATGGGAGTCATTCCATTTATTTTTATTTAGGGAGGAACCTGTCAGGAATTTCTTTTACCACAGAGCAGACACTTTTTGTGATTATTTGTTCTTTGTAGAATACTGATGAAGTTTTTGATGTGTTAGAAGTCCAACAGAGTTGAGAATTTAAAGGTCATAAAAGAGAATTTGAAGAGAATTTAAAGGTTTATAGGGGAGAGAATAGTTTCTAGTTTGGCAATTGACAAAATGAAAAATGATAATTAGGAGTTTGGGTCTCATGATTCATTGTTGTTAATATAGATACTTCAATTATTTTAACTATATTTATTGGAAAGTTTTGTAAAAATCAATAAATTCACCAAAATAATTATTCATACTGGTGGTTTCATCCCTCACAGATGAAATGTTCATTTGTTTAACAATTCACTTTTCACTTTTCTATTATTTGACTTTGGAGATAAGAATTAATCTATGATGGTGAGGAAAGGTCAAATCTAAATAGAAAACATCCTAGTTGTATTTTGATAAAGTTATCGAACATAGAGGGTAGAGCATAAAGATATAAGGCAGGAAAAAGCATTGATAGCTCTTTGTAGAGAAGTAATGGAATACTATAGAAGATATTATACTACTCATATAATTTAATCATAAAAGAATAAATAACAAGGAGGAAAGATAAATTTAAAAATTTTCTTTCATGATGATTTTTTTCTGATCTCACATAACCTTAGTTCTCATATTCATCTCTTCAGAGATTTGCAAATGTCCTATTTATTTTTCTTTATCTCTTAGCTCTTTGTTTTCTCTGACAAAAATGCTCTTTCCTCCTCCCTCTCTGTTCATCAATAACCTACTCTTCAAGTCCTTGTCCTTCATAATACCTCCCCTGACCACTCTTATCCACCCTGATCTCAATATTTACTGGTATGAACCAGAATTCTCCAAAATAGAAGAATTGAAGCATTTGTTTTTCTACAACTTTAAAAAATTGCTAGTGTTTAGTGAATCAAGGACTTGGTTATCTCACAATAAATTAGCTCATTACTCCCCAGAGGCATTCAAAAAACACAAATGTGATAAAAAGCAAGGGGAGACATAATAACAAAGGAAAGACAAAGGGAAGAAAGGTGCTGGCAGTGAATAAATAAACTAAACCTATGGATCAAGTGAAAATGTAGCTGAAAAGAGACAGTGACACAGCATGTCCAGCAAAGAAAAATTATAAGACATGCAAAGAAACTGGAAGATGTAATCCAAAATCAAAAGAAGAATCAGTCAATACAAGAAGACTCACATATGTCAAGGTGAGACATTTTATCAGAAAAATGGGAACTACAAGAAGGAACTAAATGGAATTATAGAATGGAAAATTCAGTAACAGAAATGAATTCATATAATGGGCTTAACAGTAGACAGGACACTGCTGAAAAAGGATCAGTGAATTTTAATTTAAAGATAGACCAATAATATTTATGTACACTGAAGCACAAAGGAAAAAATAATGCCAAAAGGAAAGAGAAAAATCCACAAACTGATCAGTGTCTGATATCTGTGGTACTTAACAGATTCAAGTTTAGTGAACCTCAAGCAAGATAAATATAAAGGAAACCAAAACTAAGTACATCATAGTCAATCTGCTAAATGCTAAGGATGAAGTAATCTTGAAATATTATACTCCAGGAAATACCAATAAGACTGGAGGGTAAGTTCTTATTGGAAACAACAGAGGCCAGAATACAGAAAGACAACTTCAAAGGACTGAAGGGAAAAAAAAGACAATATCATATTAAAATGAACAAAAAAAAATCCATGCTGAGAAAATTCGTTTTCAGCAAATACGAACTTTAAGAAACATTATGAGTTCTTCAGTAGAAGGGAAGGAGATATTTGTGAAAACTGTGATTGGCAGGAGTAAATAAGGACCATCAGAAAGAAAATCATCCAGAAGTCATACGAACAATGATAAACAGAAGACAATCTCTATCCTCAATGTAGCTTTGAGACATATACACACACATACCAAAACCAACCAACCAACCAACCAAACAACAAACAAAAAACAAGAGCAACCAAAACAGAGAAGGTCAAATAGGGGTATGTGAAGATGGAGGGAAGGAATGACGCAGAAAATCAATGCTGATGGAGCAACTTTCCCATAACAAGTAGCACCACTAAAATGGCTTACAAATAAAAACCTCCTACTCTATTACTATGGGAATGAGCTGTATGGACTTCAAGGTGAGTTTCCATGGACACCATTTGAGACTAAGTCTTAAGAACTGGGAAGGCAGAGATGCATGGGGAATCACATAAACAAGCCACACTGACTATTTCCAACATGGCTCCCCATTAGTGAATCTTATCCCAGCAAGTAGAATGATCCTTTAGTCTTTTACACAACTTCCACCTATGTTCCTCCATAAGCTAATCTCAATATAGCGTCCAGAGGGATTCTTTGAAAACGTAAATCAGATAATGACAATCCCATTCGAAACCAATTGTGACTTCTCATCTCACTCAAATCCAAAGCCAAAGCCTTACCAGAGCTTATAAGGTTCTCTGTGACATAACCCTAAGAATCTCTCTTAAGTTTTCTTACTATTCTAGTGACATTGATATGCTTGCTGTTCCTCAAACACATGTGGCTTTAAGGCCTTTATTCCAGCTGTTCTCTCTAATCGGAATTCTCTTGCCCCAGATACCAGCAATGCTGGTGACTTCTCTAAGGTTATCTTTTCTTAAATTCACTTTTTCAATAAGACCTTCCATTACTAATCTATTGTACTCTTCTTGCATCCTGGAATTCTACATTCCCTCCTTTTGTCTTTTTACTACATAGAATTTAAAACCACCTGACACAACTATACATTTCACTTATTTGTTTCTTTGCATTGTCTGCCTTTATTAGAATTATGCTCCATGCTTACTTCACTCCTGCATCCTCAGTGCTTTGAATAGTACTTGGCACATAGCGGGTAATTCATAAAGATTTACTGAATACATCAATAAAATAAGAAATAGTATAGTTGTTTCACAGGGGAGAGAAAATTTTATGAACAGATTTGTAAGTGATTCACTAGAAAATTCTGCTGGGGGTAAATTGTGTAAGAAAATGTTTCTTTCCAAAACTCTAAAAAACCCTATTCAAGTCTCCAGTTTTATGAACCTCAAATTTCTTACTATAAACTGAGAATCATAAAATACATATGTCATGGGGATGCTGTGAAAACTAAATAAAATTAAAGAGCATGAAGCACAA